TTTTTTTTTTTTTTGGGACGTATGTATCAAGAAGAATTTAACACGTTTTCTCCTCTTGTAAATTGGATTTATTCACCAATTTTAGAAGGATATATAGACAATGAATGCCCTATTTCAAATGATTAGTTTTTGAAACAAAAAATACCAATGAGTAGGTTACTATTATTCAAATATTAACTTTGCACTAATCAATATAATGAGTTTACGATTAACGCTATTAACGCAATCCAATATTCAGTATTTTTTTCACGAATCCCTCTTCTGATCCATCAATAGTATTTCTCCAAAACAAATGCCATCAGGTGCTTCAGAAGGGTGCAAAATCTGAGCATACCCTGCCTCACTTGGTTATGAACCAATAGGTCATCTCAGACTGTCATTTCTATTTATGAACTCATAGTGGGCAAACTAAGATTCAATAAGTATATGGTAAACATTAATGCTCAGAAAAATGTGTATATTATATAAGCCAATCAAAAGAATAAAGTCCAAGAGAGACTATACTTAAATGATGGCAGTTAACAATAAGCAATATTGTAGAGAAAATATAGGACAAAATTATAATCAAGACACCAAATATTTCATTTACTTATTAATGGAATAATTTTATGTAACCTTAGCGTGACCTTTGACCTTTTCATTTCCTGAATTTGTCATGAAAATGTGATCACTCTTAATCAAAAATTAAGTATAGTACATCATTCCAAAAATGTTAACAGCTTATAACAGTCCACAGTTTTAGCATAAAACAAGTCTATGATCCTGTTTTGCAAATGGTCTACCAATGTGAAGACTTTGTTGTCTCATTTTCCAATTTCATCACAACACTGAAACAAAACTGAAGCATGCGATACACAACCATCCATGTAACAGCCATTTCAAAATATAAGTTCAATAATTAGGGTAGAACTAAACATTATGTACCTCTGACGCTTCGTCTTCATCACTGGATGTGTCTGCAACAAACACTGCTGACGGGGAATTCGACATATTTTCCGAGTTTTCATTCGTGAGCACGAGTGGTGGTGTCTGGCTGCTTTCGTCAATCTCCACTCGTCTGACATCTTGTGTTTCATTTCTTTTCGTTTGAACAGCATTCTGCATCATTTTGCTTTTCTTTATGAGTTACATAGACTAAGTCTTTTGTTATTATGTACATACAGATGGTAATTACTTTATAATTCGATCATGCTACTTGCTTCTTTCAGCCGCCATTATATTTCTAGTTGCCCGGATGATTATGTGATCTGCGCAGAAGCAGACACGGGGCACCATATTCGCTCTTTTTCTTGTTTTGATCCTTGGATGGATTTGTATTTTAAAAAAAAAACATATAAAGGTTGCATATTTCAGACAGAAATTTGAGCTAATGTAATTGAACCCATTATCTTTTGAAGTGCTACATCACAGAATTTACCAGCATATCAGTTATGGAAAATAAATTACATGCGCAACTTTCATCAATATTGTAATTAAAGGGGAGCAACTCTATCTAAAAGCCACGTTGAGCGCACCTGTTGAGAGCTTGAGAAAATATTCGTGGGTGGGGCAATTATTCTTTGTTATCAAAATACCATCAATTTCCTTTCTATGTTTGATGTTAATAAAATAATAATAAAAAGAACCGAACAATCGAAGTTTATTTAAGTTTTTTACAAAATTTTCAGTTTATAGACTATTATAACTTAACTGTAATTATAAATTATCATAGAATAAGTTACATGACAAAGTCCCCCATCAACGTTTATTGATAAAAGTTCAAGCACTAGGTATCGAGGGGAAGATGTTGAAGTGGATCGAAGAATTTCTAACAAACCGAAAACAGAGAGTTATTCTAAACTCTACCTATTCTCCTTGGACAAGGGTGCAGAGTGGTGTCCCTCAAGGTAAGTGTTTTAGGCCCAGTAGGCTATTGTTCCTTATTTACATCAACGACATTCCGGCAGCTGTGAAATCGATGATTAAACTATTTGCGGATGATACTAAATTACACGGACCATGCAACAGCGATTCTGGTAGAGTGAGAATACAGAATCAACAATCTGTTAACCTGGACTGACACATGGCAGATGAAATTCAACAAAGAAAAGTGTAAATCTCTGCATTACGGACACAACAACCCACGTACATCACCAATACTACTTTTCAGAACCAGACGGAACAGTTTCAAAGTTAAAACAGGAAAGTGCAGAAAAGGATCTCGGAGTGACTTTCCAGACCAACCATAAATTTGACCAACACATAGCAGAGAAGTGTCAGAAATCCAACAGAATGATAGGAATGATCAAACGAACCTTCACAAGCATGGACAAAGATTCCTTTCTTCCGATTAGATAAGACAGTTGATACTTCGATGCTACAATTATCCCAAGAAACCCGAACCAGAGGACACCATATGAAGTTGAGTAAACAACAATGCAGACTGGATATAAAGAAAAACTACTTTACTGTATGTGTCGTCAACGATTGGAACTCTCTTTCTGACTACGTCATAAACAATTTAAATCTAATCTGAACACAGCCTTGAAACACCTCGATATTAAATTCACACCAAGTTTTATGGAAACCTAATTACATCTAGTCTACTCACTTAATAAAACCTTTTTGTATCTGTAATTTGTCGTATGCGCAAAACGAACATAAGCAAACTAAAACAAATATTTTATTACCGGTACTTCATTTTTGGAAGTCTTATTAGAAATTTACAAGGTGGTCAAGAAGTCGTTGTGCTTACAAACAGACCGAAGAACAGGTATAACAGGTATAACATGTAGGTTAAGGCTTACCAGTTGATATTGTTGAAAAAGAACGAAATGGATTTGACATCATTGAAAAGAAAGTTTAGTTAGGGTTTTTATTGAATATTAATTGTATCCGAATAAAAGCATTGTGACTATTACCGATTAAGTCATATGCACGGTCTCATAAAGCCCTAGCCATTCAGACAGGTGGACTAGAAGTTCGATTTTCTTTCTGAAAAATGATACGGATATTTAAAATTTATCATTTAGTAAAGCAAATACATAGGCGACTAACCCCTTTAAACGCATACATGTATTTTTATCTGGTAAATTTTGCGAAGAGAACTTAAGATAAGATAGATGTAGCTTTAACGTTCTTTACCTCGATCATGGTCGATTGCTTTGAAACCTCATTGTAAAACTATGATAATATTTCTTTAAGATTTTTACAACTTTTGTGCATGAGATAGTGTGGTAACTGTATGGTCTTTTTTCTATGAGGCAAAAATCCGGTCGTTAGGCTCTATGTCTTCCTTTGTCACGCTAAATCAAGTGCTGAGCGCACTGGAGAAAGCGAAAATGTTTTGAATATGTAGGCATTGTTTTTCCATGTGGTAATTGAGGGAAATGGCGAACATGTTTCGGAAAAATTCCAAAGGGAAACTAATTACAGAGTGTATATACTGCGCCTGTTAAAATAACTTGTTAATCCACACCGAGAAATAGCCAGTAGGCCTATATCAGTCTCTAAACTCAATTTGTCCCAGTCACGAGAGAAATTTCATCCTTTGTGTCACATATTACATGTTTCTAACAATCTTTCAATCTTATCGTTATTTCTCTTTGCTTAAAGGGTCGGTCTACATATCTTGGTCTAGTAGTAATAGGCCTATCTATTATGAGCACAGGAACTTGTATAGCTTAAGACTAATTTCCCTCCGTACTCAGAGGGGAAAGGTCGACGTGGTCAGAGGCTAAGGATAAGACGCACAAAATGTACATATTATAATGAGGTTTAAAATATACACAAAATAATAATATGACTATACAGCCTATAAGCACATGTGTATGCCTTCTCCCAAGTATTGAAGCCAAATTCTAAACAACAAATTTCAAGGCACAGTCTCTTTTCAAATGTCGCTTCGGTGACACCCACTTTAAACTTCACATCTCTGATTATGTTATACTTGTATTTGTCCAGTAATTAGGTACAGATTGTGATGTGTATATATTATACAATTGCTTGTTGTCTGTTAATTAACGATAAAATTGACTTAAGGAACAAACTGTTATCTCACACACTTGTTGTCCATAACGCACGTTAGGATAACGATAATCACTTATATTAATTTCAGATAAGATTCAGCACTGTCTTCCAGGATTCAATGTATCAATTGCGGGTACGGGAAGATAAGATTAGGGCTATTTTTTGGGAAAATGATAACTAATCTGTGAAGTTTAACATCCAGTTTTCATTAACTCAAAACTTAGAATAAGTACGCATACCTACTTGAATGCTGTCTAATCCCAGTTATAGCCTAAATAGGCATTGTCGTATAATACCTCCTCTTCAATGAGTATGCTTACTTTGCTCACACACCCGAAAGTCATTCCCCATTTTCATAACTATAGCCGTCCTGATGAGAACTGTTTATCAGGGCATGAGATAAATTGCGTATATAAATAAGGCGATCTTTAGAATTTGAGTTTTGAAATGTTCTGTTTAGCTAATGAAGATAGATCGATCGTTTGTTGAAAATATTGACAGGAGAAATACTCTAAAAGGGCCTGCATTAGATCTATCAAATTAATATTAGAAGAATTTTTTATGTTAACTTTCAAACGCGAATAATTCTGGGCACACATGGATTTCGAGGCTCAAATTTCGGCAGTGAGTTATGAACACTATTACTGATTGGCTTAGCTGAAAAATAAACCCCGTTTGTAAGAGGCACGATTGATCAAAAATATACCGCATTTGCTCCTTAAGCATTTTAGGACTACTGGCGATTTCCCTACGAGGAATACTCCTGGATTTTATTGTGAACGACGTTTCAACAAATAACGTTGTATCCAAAGGTGAAATGAAACGTCGTGTAGGCCTACAACTACACTAAGGATTGGTATTATTATACCGTCAATTTATGCCGTTATTTAATGTGATCTCTACACAGTTTCGAACTTTAAATAGGAGGATTAAATAATTACTTAATGGTTGTAGTCTGACATTTTGCAATCAGAGGTTACGTCCCTTGAACTCGTAAGGGAAGATGATGACATTATCGACAGGAATGGTAATAGTATCTACATTTCTCTGCTTTCGAAAGTTGCTTTTTTGTTCCTCTTATTTTTTTCGAAGATGGGGCCATTTTTATGCCCGTGTAGTCAGGATCATTTTGGGTTCGATCTTCAAGCGAAATGAAATAGGCTATTCTTATCTTTCAGATCTACTTCAGGCCACAAATACAAATAAATTATCCTTGAGAAATATTTTTTTGGATATTTAATTATAGTTTTAATCTTTTGCCAGATTCCACACATGCAGAAATGAACACAGCACATGAATGTAATTGATAACCCACTTAACAGATTTAAACCATAAGTTTCCATATCTTATGTACTATGTTAAAGCCTGTTTGAGCTATGCCAGCAGAAGTGGTGAGTTATTATTTACTGGTATACACATGTACTAATATTCAAAGATTTGTTTCACGATGACCTAGATCTATCTTGAGTTGACTTGTGAGCCACAAATAGAACATTGGAATAGGCTTGTCATGAGTAGATTTCATGAGAGTCCTATAATGACTGCTTGTAGCCTACTACAGACTAAGTTTTTACTTTTGGTTCAGGTATGATCATATTTAATTTCAACACATTCTCTAAAAAATTTAAACTGCAACTTTTGATTTTCTAACAACAAATTTTAATAGTTAAAAACAGTAAAAATAGGAGTGATATATTTCCACGATCTTAGTACACTTATAGTATTTTATCTTGAAGAGTATTATTACTACCATATATAATGGTGAAAAATGGTTAAACCAGTATTTTGAATCAGTTTATACACAGACTTATCATGGATTACTAGAGTTGTCTATTTATAACGATGGGTCTACGGTAGGTGGCATTTAAAATTGATTTGATTGATTTCAGTATTGAATATTAGTAAATAGTCTTCAGAAGTACTAGATATGAAAGAAAATCATGTAATCCCTTTAAAAATACTTCAAACTAGGAATTTTACTTTCTATTTCTATATATGTATATCTTTTATATGATATACAGTCAAGTAACCTAATTTCGTGCTAACATAGTAGGACGTAAAACTCCATTCATTTCATTTCATTTCGTGCTAACATATTTTTCGTGCATTTCCGGAAATGATTAATAATTTACATGTGCGACCTCGCATGACCTCCGCATATGCTTGTTTCGATAAACATGTGTTATCTCTACAATATCAGCTAGTAGAATGAATCCAGTAGTCACCATTTTTTATTGGCCGAATTTCCTTATAATCCCAAGCGGTAATCGGAATTCCAAGTGTCGTCTGCTAGAATGTATTCCAACGAATGAAGTCACATGATCAACTAGCGGATTCCGTGTCAACAGAAAATTTCTATGGAACACAAAGTGGGCCATATTCTTATATTGTTTCAGTAACTTTTAGCAATAAATCACGCTACGTATCTTATTTGTCAGTCACTATTTTTTTTTAAAATCGTGGTTCTTTGAAGGACTTGTCACTAGTTATAATGAATTGATATTAAAGATAAATACTAAGAGAAGTTAATTATACCACTGGGTATGTATATAACGTGTTTTTCTCGACTTATTTATAGTTCAAACATTGTACACGAAAATAGGTGACACATTCTGCCTCCGTTGCCAAGTTGGTTGCTCATGAAATATGGGTCAAAGTGAAGGATTCATAAGGAAAATCGAAACAAACCAATTTTAATTATTTTTTAGGATATCTGAGGAAACATCTAAGACTTATAAAAAAAATTTCTTTTTTTTAACTTTGACGAATTTTTGTGTTATATGGACGAAAATAGGTTACACCACTGTATAACATAGTATCTTAAAATGACGATTTGTCATTTTAACATTCAAACGCAGATAACTCTGGACAAACATGCCTTTGAAGGCTCAAATCCAGACAGTGAACTGTGAACACTATTACTAATTGGCTTTGCTAAAAGATACCCATTCCTGAGACAAAAGTATGATTGGTCAAAAAAATTGCACACCTCTCCCCCTTTAAAAAGAATATCACTTTGCAGAAGAAGTTAAGAAAGTATACGAAAATTGTCTGACAAGCAATTGTGTTTTAACCATTACTTTCATTAGGCTTAATACATCAGGAAAACTAGTTTTGAAATATGGTTGAAATATGAAATATTTGTACTAAAAGCAAGGGCAAGAGAGAATAACACAGTTCAATGAGGCCTATGCTACAATGTTTCCAATCTTAATGAATGGATATAAGTTATATAAGATATTTAATGTTATAGGATAATTCAAAATCAATAATAGAAAGCTGGACGACCAAGCTGAAAACTAGAGACATCAACCTTATTTTGTTTGGACATACAGGACTTCCAAGAGGGGGTAGGTATTCAAGCTAAGCGCATTCAAAATATAACTTGCACATCTAGTTATAATGTCAAAAATTAACTGTATGTTTTTGGGATATAGTCATGATCAATTTTTTGAAAATAGTGATATGAATAGTAATTTCTCTTCAAATATTCTTAAATTTAAATTCACGAGTAATAGACTGTTGATATTATTAACAAAACCAACTATATCTCTTTAAATGTTTTTTAATATGACTTTATGAGTGAGCTATCTATTTAGGCTGTTGATATTATTTACAAAACTTTTATTGTTACAGTTGGTCATGGTAAAAATGTAGCTGTTAGACAAAGTTCAGGAAAATATCTGTGTTTTCTAGATGCTGTAAGTTCTGCTTATACTTATATACTATAGCCAATTTAAAAGAAATTATAGAACGTAGTTCTGGGCATAGATAATTACCTTTGATAGTGTAAAATTCTATTCAGTATATGTAGTAGTATGTATTAACTCATTACATATAATCATGATTATACTATACTATATTATATTAGGATGATGAGATGAATGAATGTAGAATAGAAAAACAACTTCAAGCAGCTAAATCATTCCCTAATACTGTAAGTACAATATTTTTTTTTATCATAACCACCAATTCAGAGCAGCATCCTTTTGAAGAGTGCACATCATATTTTTTTTTGCTTATTAAAGTGAGGTTTGATATTTTACAGATAGTAGGTTGTAGATTTCATCGTTTACCAGCTGATTCTACTAGAAGATATACACAATGGGCCAATAATCTATCTCATAAACAGCTTTATACACAGGTATATAGCACATAATTACTGACTTTTAGTTTATCCATTTATAAGTTTCTAGAGGGGAACTCTGTAGAATGGTTGAAAGACTGTTAGTGTACTTGAATAAATGTTCAATATCTGTCAAAATTCATAGACTAACCATGCAAAATGTGATGATATTACAATATAACTTATCAATTACTGTTCCCTCTGTCTGTAGAACACCTTGCTTATGCTAGCTAATTGCCACACTTGGTTTTGTTATCAATGTTTTAGGCCTACACCAGTCATGGACCAACTGTTGTCATGCCAACCTGGTTTTGTAGAAGAGCTATATTTGATAATGTTGGAGGGTTTGATGAAGGAGGCAAGGTAAGTATCTCAAGGATTATTGCAATAGAAACTGTAATAAAAACCCCTCTTTTAACTTTTAATTTCATGGACGCTTTCTCTGTAACCTGAACCAGGGGTTCAATCTAACATGAAGAATGTCTAGTCATTCGGATGGGACGATTAAACCGAGTCACTATGTGCTACATGCCAAGGTACCGTACATTAAAATTCCTCGACATATGGAAATCAAAAAAGGCTATTGTTATTGTCCCATCTTCATTAACATAATCAGCTGCAAAAAAGTATGGTGTAAAACTTCCATAAATATTTCATTTCATACTATTGTCACAGGGTGTACCAGAAGATCTGATATTTTTTTACAATCATCTAGAGATTGGTGGAGAACTATATAGACTAGATGCAGATTTAATGATGTATAGATATCATACAGATGCTACAACCTTCTCTGTTGACAGGTAGGTCTGATCCATTACAAATTGCATCCAAACTTACTCTTATCAAGTTCCAAATTACGAGTTTATCTTGGCCACTTCTGAATTTATGGTACTTTTTTTTTTACTGAAGCTTAATATAAATAGATTCACAGATGACAAGATCCCACTGATATCTTAAGTACCTCAAATACCTTCAGATGTCAAGCAAAGCATGCTGAATGATATTTATCAAACATTTTGTCTTATCATTTGACATGTTATTATCCTTCTTTTTATTTTTAACAGGAAAACAATATGGATGTTAAGAATAGAGTTTCTAGAAAAACAGGTTTTAAGTCATTGGAGAGAGTTTACTATATGGAATGCTGGGAAACAGGGTAGAAGATTTTTCAGATCATTATCAACTGAAAATCAGAAAAAGGTTATTTCCTAAAAAATTCATAAAATTTCAGTTTTAGTGAATAGGTTTCTTGTTTTGAACATTGGACTATGTTGTTCTTGTCCACTATAACAAGAAACGTAAATCAACTGTAGTCAAATTAAGAGATGTGGAAGATTCAATAATTTCATTTCAGACCTCTATGAGAAAGATAGTGGACCATAGCCATATACGCCCACCACGGCATGCGGATGGTAAAAACGAAACATCCATTTTAAGTTTCATCAAAATCGGTTGACAACTAATAGCATATTCAAGATTTTGGGGCAAGGGCATCTAACGGTCGAAAATAGCTCAAATTCAAACTTGATCTTTGTTTTATGAATATGTATACACATTACGAATTTCATGTGATTCCTTCAAAAAATCTAGTTTTTAGAGCATTTACAAGCAAATGTTGACAGACCGACCGACAGACCGACGGAGTGTTTACGAGCAATTGATGTTGATAGAAGCACTTACTGTATAGAGGTTAAAGGGCGATAACTCCTCAAAATTGATGTAAGAAGCCTTAATCTTAAAAAAGCCTTAAATTTAATCAGAAGTAAACTAAACTTTCTCGAACCTTTCGATTTAGGTCCAATAACATCCATTTTAAGTTTCATCAAAATCGGTTGAAAACTATATTCAAGATTTTGGGTCAAGGGCAATAACTGCTTCTAACGGTCGAAAATAGCTCAAATTCGAACTTGATCTTTGATTTATGAATATGTATACACATTCCGAATTTCATTTGATTCCATCAAAAAATCTTTTAGAGCGTTTACGAGCAAATGTTGACGGATGGACAGACCGACGGACGGACGGAGGTTCCGATAATATACGTCCACATAGAGAGATGTGGGCGTATGAAAATTATGAATTTAATTTCTATTAGAGTCTATGACAAATTGAAAATAATATCAGAGGTTTTCTATATTTTCTAGGTTTGTATGTTCTGTGATGTTGATACTAGAAAGATTAACAAGGGCAGTTATATCTATGAAAATTCACAGGTAATTCAGTAGTTTAAAGTCATTGTTTAATAGTATTTTATCCTGCCATAAACATATTGACACTCAGTTTTCAAATAAGAAAATAAACAATTCTGAAAAGCCAACAATAATGAGCTCAAATGACATTTGATTCTTTCAGGAAATTCCAAAACCAAGAGTTCCAATATTCCATTTTACCCAAGCTAAAACTCCTATCATAATCTGTGTCAAGTTGGTATGTTCACACTTTTAATTCATTTTTCTGGTTCCAATTATGTTTTAATCTTCATCAACATTCTAAGAAATTATGTCAATAAAACACCTCACAATCTCCTGTTTCTAATTCATGATACAGGAGTCTAGCCTCTTACTTTCATTTTGATCTTATAGTTTCTTTCTTGTATTACAGGATTTAACAGATGGTGTTTTTGAAGAGAATTTAAAATCATTAAAGCTTATAGAGGGGGTTGATTACTTTCATTTCAATTGAAGTCCATGAGATGATGAAGAGCTTAATCCAAACTTCCATCTAGCATCTATCCAGATCAATCAGCATGTAAGGAATGAAAAGGCAGAATACATGCAAGTGACAGCAGGATGAGATAACAAACCTCATACCTGATGATGGAAACTACAAAGGTGAAAACACCATAGTTGAGAGCGGTGAAACAACATATCTCGTTTTCGAGAAACTCCACAGGTGAAACCACCATAGTTGAAAGCAGTGAAACATCATATCTGGTGATGGGGGAAACTCCACAGGTTAAACCACCATAGGTGAGAGCAGTGAAACATCATACCTGGTGATGGTTCGAACTCCACTGGTGAAACCACCATAGTTGAGAGCAGTGAAACATACCTGGTGATGGGGGAAACTCCACAGGTGAAACCACCATAGTTGAGAGCAGTGAAACATCATACCTGGTGATGGTTCGAACTCCACTGGTGAAACCACCATAGTTGAGAGCAGTGAAACATCATACCTGGTGATGGGGGAAACTCCACAGGGGAGACCACCATAGAATGAAATTTGATGTTTATAAGGTGAATATAGGTCAAATGTATGCATGTTGATTGACCTAAAAACAGTGTACATTCTCATAATTAAATCATAATGCAACTTGTATAGTTTTGGAAGCACTAATTTTTTACCAAAATGTTTTAAATATATACATAGCAAAGTGGATCTTGGTGATATGGTTTTGGGTAAATTTGTATGTTTATTGCTTGAATTAACTCTAAAGTGTTCTTCAAAAATTCCTTAACATCATATTCCTCCAAGATTTCATAGACTGAGCAACTAAAGTTGAGAATGCATATGAAAGCCAAGTTTCATGAAAATCAGATCAAAATTTGTATCATTGGACAACTTTATCTGGTGTGCCATGAGAGGAATTTTTTAAGGTTTTTTACATAAACCTACACTTTCAATTTCAAACTGTTTGGGTATTTTCCCTGCCTAAGTAAGTGATTTACTTATTGTGAAAGCAATAAGAGATAATGATTGGCTATGCAACCAGTTATCTCTGATTATCAGTTATTATTATGAAAGTAAGCCAAAACAAGTGTTTGCATAGCAAGAAACACACACTCCACTTACATAATAAATTTTCAGTCTTCAATGTGTCAAATTGTGCCAAAAGTCTTAACTTGTCAAAGATTTTAACTCCACACAATTTCATAAAATGTCACTGTCCCCTCTATTTAACCTTATCTTAAGATCTTGTGGATATAAACCTATACACCAAATTTTAATAAAGATAGCTTGCCAGGCGATGGGGTGATGGGGGAAACTCCACAGGTGAAACCAACATAGTTTAGAGCAGTGAAACATCATACCTGGTGATGGGGGAAACTCCTCAGGTGAGACCACCATAGGTGAGAGCAGTGAAACATCATACCTGGTGATGGGGGAAACTCCTCAGGTGAAACCACCATAGTGGAGAGCAGTGAAACATCATACCTGGTGATGGGGGAAACTCCTCAGGTGAAACCACCATAGTGGAGAGCAGTGAAACATCATACATGGTGATGGGGGGAAACTTCACAGGTGAGACCACCATAGTTGAGAGCAGTGAAACATCATACCTGGTGATGGGGGGAAACTTCACAGGTGAGACCACCATAGGTGAGAGCAGTGAAACATCATACCTGGTGATGGGGGAAACTCCACTGGTGAAACCATCATAGTTTAGAGCAGTTTAACATCATACCTGGTGATGGGGGAAACTCCACAGGTGAAACCACCATAGTTGAGATCAGTGAAACATCATACCTGATGATGTGGGAAACTCCACAGGTGAAACCACCATAGTTGAGAGCAGTGAAACATCATACCTGGTGATGGGGGAAACTCCACAAGTGAAACCACCATAGTTGAGAGCAGTGAAACATCATACCTGATGATGGGGGGAAGGTAATATACGCCCATTGGCAGATTTGATTTTGAATAAAAATATTTAGCAGTACAGTAACAATCACTTCTTTTGAACTCTTTAGGGCGATACTGACTAATATTGAGTATGAGTTATTTCCCTTGTTATTGAAAACGTGTTCAATTTTTAGCTCGTGAAAACTCTAGAAAGCAAATATTCAATCTTCAGCACGGGACTGAATAATAAAACCAAGTTTTGTCAAAATCCAAGAACCATGCCTTTTAGTATTTAAGAGCTAAATTTGAAAGTGTCTTGTAGAGTGTTTACGAGCAATTGTGGATGGACCAACGGACAGACAGACATGGGTGACGGCAATACACGCCCCCCCCCCCCCCCCCATTTCATGTGGGCGTATAAAAAGCGAATAAAATCTGTGGTCTCTATTGCATTCACAAGCTAATTGTGGATCGACAAATATACGTCCCCATTCCAATAAAAACAATCTAACCATCAGTACTTCTGTCTTCATAATACAAAGAGTTCATTGATTGTTTTGAGGTTTTTATTACCATTCCATTTCATAATTATTTTACACAAAAATATAGCTTCTATAAATTTACTGGCTTTTTCTGAACCCAACTCCTGTTACCATGAAAAATTATAAAGGCATGATCCCTGTACAAAACAATATTTATGAATCTGATTTGCAAGGCTTCATTGAGACCGACATTCATTAGTCATATTGGTAACATGCCAGGATTGGTATTTATAGAGTGAGATCAAGATTAACAGTTAATAACAGCTTCAAAATCATACAATAACACTTTATTAATGAATGAACTTGCGTAGCAAATACCAGAATCTGTTTCTATGTGAGAACAACAGTTTTTTATTTTGTGTAGTAGTGTACCTTTATTACTAGTTATATGATGGTCATTAACTTATTTTTCACAGGAATAATATAGAATCTAACTTCCAACTTTACACATCTATATTAACCACACCCCTTAACTATTAACACCATTCATAACTATTTCACAGCTTGCGTTAGTTGTAACTTGACAATATATCAGCGTAGTAAATCAATATCATTGTGTATCCTGTATACTTGAACTAAATTTAAGTATATACAGAAATATCTCCATACTGCTCTGAAATAAATACAATGAGCACCATAAGAATCATGACATGATTCACAGAGTTATTTCAAACATTTCTCCATTATTCTTCCGAATAACAGGTTGTTTTAACATTTCTACAATTTTAAAATTATTTTTGAGTGCCATTATTCAACAAGTTATAAAATAAAACAAACTTCATACAACCATCTTATTCTAACGAAATATAAATTATCAACCATATTTAATATGGCTTTAAAATTTAATAAAAGTTAACAAGAATTCTGGGAAGGTTCTAAAGGAATATTGAATCTTGCAGCAAGTCTTGGTCGTCTTGGTTTCCTTGGTGAGGTTCTAGGTGTATCAGAACGTACTGAACTAGTGTCAAGTGGATGTCCTCGTTTAAACAATAAATTGTACGACATTTCACTGTCTAAAGTTGTGTCACATGACTGATCCAGCGTTGTATCTAAGTCTGCACAAATGACATTGGACCTTTCACCTTGCGAATTGACCTCAGTTTTAGCTATAACCTTTGGTTTTACATCTGCACTTTGCTTTAAAGCAATGCTGAGTTTTGATTGCAAAACTTTAGCATGTGACCTTGTTCCTTCTATACCATTCATCAATATCATTTGTTCTGGACTAGTTGATGTACCACTTTTCCTGCCTTTCGGTGTAATACGATCAGATGGATTGCTTGGTGCAGCAGGACTTGATCGCCCAGACCAATTTTCTGTAGATAATTTGAAAGTTTTGTTAACTTCCTCTAGTTGAGTTTGACTAGCTTTCCACCAGCCTCCTTTTAATAAATTTCCAAATTCAGACGACTTCTCGTCACCATTATTTTCTGGAACATCCAGGGTATCATTCCTTGATCCCTGTTGGATGTCAACAGAATTAGGTTGAGCATCTACTCTTCTTCTTGAACAGCTTCTAGTCCATAAATTCATCTGTGCTGGACTTAATCTAGTTTTAGTGATACACCCTGTAGAAGCTGGACGAACCTGACTACTATCAGCAGGACTGGAAGGGCAACTCTTGATAGGTCTAGGAGTTAAAGCTCCTTGCAACAATCTCATCACAGGACTAGTTGAATTGGATTCTTTGTTCACTCCTTGACCTAATATGGGTATGGGACTTACTGATCTTGAAATCACTCTTCTAGTTGCAGGGCTTGCTGTTCGACTACGAGGTGGAATTGGACTGCCATTTTTTGTTTCTGGCAGGTACTGAGCAGCAAATTGAAGGATTTGCGAAGTAGGTGTTTGACATAGCGGACTCCTCAAATTTCTTTTCTCATCTTCAGTAAGAACTAGAAAATCTTTTTCTGAAAAGAAAGAAAGGTTTCAATTAGGGGTGATCATGTCCCAACATAAAGTTATAAATTACATGAGTTGATACGGTCTGACTGGCAGGATGGACTTGAGTAAGGGGAAATGTTCAGATACCCACCTGGAGAAGTTGTAAATGACATGAGATCTGGTAGAGTCTGGCTAGCAGGATGGAGCTGAGGGGAAGGTACAGCAGATGGTATTGCACCACTGCATAATAGATCAATTGGAGACATGGCTACCCTCTCTTCATTCACTAGTAAATCTTCTTCTGAAACACAATTTTAATTGGATTATTTGTTAACCATAGTTCCTTTGATAATTCTTCAATGGATTACCGATGAAAAATCCAGCTCGTTATTTAAATAAAGATAAGCAATTTTTGCAATCTTAATTTGATGCTAGATTGCAATTTAGAAGGAACGTCAATTTATAGAGTGTGCCATTTAGAAAGCAGGGCATTCACTGTATACATATTTGGTCTGTTCAATTTTTATACCATTAGACTGAATCAAAACTGAGAACACACTATTATAATTATAATTACCATGTGTATCTGTTACTCCAGAATCATTAGAAGGAGTATCAGAATCATTTTTACCATCCATATTACTACGATGTTTACCACCAGTTAATAATACTGCAGCCTGCTGTAGGGCACCTGTAATAATTTCAATCAAGGTCTATCTCTGATCAAATCAACATGTTTTTCTTGCTCTGTATCTGGCTGACAGATCTATTTAAAATCAAACAATGTGTTTAAACATACATTTTTAACTGCCTTACTGTCTTGGTGAAATTTTATTCGAACAACCTGGCAAAGAAAATTAAAGCACAGACTCACCTGGCACTTTCAACTGTTTAGATAATTGTAATATTTTCTTTGACCCTCTGCCACGTACAGTAACAATATGAGGCAAAGCATAAAGTAGGGCTTGTAAACTAGGAAATCCATATAATGTTGGTTTAATTTCTACACCAAATGTCTCATGAAAGGCTGATTCTAACTGGTTTAGAGATATTTTACCACAACCAATCAACAATAATCTTATATCTCTAGCTAGAGTTTGTAATGGTGTCAGTGAAATTACAGCAGAATTGTCATCTCCTGATACCTAAAATAGAAGGAAAAAGTCTTTCAAACTGTCATATATCTTGATTATTGAGTCGATATCTTTTTAATTTGCCAGGCAATATACGCCCACTGGCAGCTTTGATTTTAAACAAAAATATTTGGCAATACAGTAACAATTACCAGTATGAAATATTCAACCTTCAATCGTACACTACTTTTGAACTTTTTGGGGCATTACTGTATAATATTTCCAAGTTCCGTCAAACTCTGTCAAGAGTGTTT